ATGGACGCTAAGCTATATATGAACCGATTTTCTTCAAATTTAATGTACTTGCTACTAAACTGAATTCGGTCGGATGTGCCAAAATTCATGCCATTTGGACTGATATTGGTTATTTGGTGCACAACTAAGCTGAAATCGGTTGAGGATATATATGGGAGCTATATCCAAATCTAGACCGATCTTGACAAAATTTTATACACTTATTTCAGAGCTGTATCTGATATCTGGTACCAAAGATCATTCTTCTGTAGTGCACATTACGTATGTGAAGGACTTATATATTTGGGAGCTATAGCAATATCTGAACCGAAACCAAATTTGATTTATTGGCTTCTAGACTGAATTCGGAGGGGTGTACTAAAATACAGGTCATCTGGACATATATTATCCATTTGGTGCACAATTAACCCGAAATCGGGTGAAGATATTTGGTAGCTATATCTAAATCTGATCCGATTAACACCAATTTCAATAGGGTTCGTCCTTTGGCCAAACAAATATTGTTTGCAAAATTTCATCTCAATGAGATAATAAATGCGACCTGCATTTTGTTCACAAGAATTCATAGACGGACTGACATGCATAAATCGACTCAGAAAGTGATTCTATGAAGATCCTCGAAAGTGTCTATGTGTCTATCTTGCTTCCTTCTCCCTGTTACATACAAATGTACAAAGACATAATATCTTTACCACTATGTGGTGTAGGGTATACAAATAAAATATCCTCGAGGGCAGAATTATAAATTTTAAAAAAATTGTTGAAGATTGGGATATGGATACTGAATGAACAATATGGGGAGAATTGGACGGAAATGTACGCTGTTCACCATAGGCTTTACATTAAAACATTGATTTAAAGCATATTTTTGAAATAGTCCCTATATAACTGTACCTCCAGATCTTCGGTATTTTCTTTTCACCAGAATTATTAAATCTTGGTGTTTTGAATTCCCAATAGCCACAATATTTTCAGGCAGATTATTAAATTTAAAGGTCGACGTAACGTAACACATAATATTGAGAATTTTTAAAAGTTTTAGCTGCATTTTTTACCCTACACCTTAGTATGGATGGTATATTAAGTTTGGCATTCCCTTTGTAACATATACAAATATACTACTTCTACTTTTCCGATACTTCCCAATATGGGATATTTTGATGATATTGACCACATTTTCCAACAAAATTATCTCAAACTTGGTATTTGCAGTTGCTTGCAGATAATTGACTGTAGGAGTCGCGATTTAGTGTAAGCCTCACATAACTGTACCTCCAGATATGCGGTATTGTGGTGATTAGAGTCACAGGTAATTGGCTGTAAAGCTCCACGTTTACATATAGCCATACCATGGAGGCTATATTAAAGTTTTCATTCCGTTTTCAACACCTCGAAATATTCATCGGAGATCCCAAAAAGTGTATATATTCTTGATCAGAATAAAATTATGAGGCGAGAAACAGTATCTGTTGAAATCACAATAGGGTCCACATTTTCATTATCTAGAGCATAAAAGTTTATATTATATGCAGGCTGCTTTGCATTGAAAATGGGCTATATTGGTGCACGTTTAGGTATAGCCTCCATATAACAGTACCTCCAGGTATTTTGTTGGCTTCTGCCACAATTCCCAACCAAATCAGCTGAAACTTTACCATATAACCATACCTCTTGATTTTCGCTGTTTTCAAAGTTTCTAGTACAATTTCCAACCAAATTAGATGATAACATGGGTTTCGCTATTTGGGTTATTATTATTATTTTTTTATTTATTTATTTATTTATTTTTTTTTTTTTTTGAATAAATTAACATATTCTACTATTTTCAATATTTCATTTTACTTTGATAAACATAGCGGTGGAGAAATTTACTTGTTCTTGTTTTATTATTTGTGTTCTAGTGTAGTGTAATTTAAAAAATGTTGCATACTTTTAGGAATCAATCATATTAACCCTTTATTATGCTTTATCTTCTATATCTATAAAAGAGGAAAATGTTTGTACGTTTGTTTGTTTGTTTGTTTGTAATTTATGGACTCGAAAACTGCTGAATAGATTTTTCTGAAAATTTCCATATATACTACAACATCGCCTGAAAGTAACATAGGCTATATACATTTTTGAATTTCCACTTGGAACTGGAGATATAGCATCAGAATCGGAGGTACCTCCCAAAAATTTAGATTTTATATGCACATATCTATTGATCGGTTAAAGATACAGTATACAAATTTGGAATATGTAACGGAATTTGGAACAAAAATAAGTTTGCTAAATTATATTGTAATCGGTTCAGATTTGGATATAGCTCCCATATATATTTTCGACCGATTTCGTTCATTTGATGCCTCAAACACAATATGAATGTTCGATTCCAATGAAATTTGGAATATGTGACGGGATTTGATCCGAAAATAAATTTGTCAAATTATATTGAAATCGGTTCAGATTTGGATATAGCTCCCGTATATATTTTCGGCCGATTTCAAGCATTTGATGCACCAAACACGCTATGTATCCCCAATTTCAATGAAATTTGAAACGTGTGATAGATTTTATCTAAAAAAATTTATTTCCCAAATTATATTGAAATCGGTTCAGATTTGGATATAGCTCCCATATATATTTTCGGCCGATTTCATGTATTTGGTGGACCAAAAAAGATATGTATGTCCAAATTTAATGAAATTTAAAATAAGTAACGGAATCGGGAGCAAAAATGAATTTTTCAAATTATATTGAAATCGGTTCAGATTTGGATATAGCTCCCATATATATTTTCGACCGATTTCATGTATTTGATGCACCAAACACGCTATGTATCTCTAATTTCAATGAAATTTGGAATCTGTAGGGGAAATTAAAACGAATATACATTTGTCAAATTATAGTAAAATCAGTTCAGATTTGGATATAGCTCTCATATATATTTTCGACCGATTTCATGTATTTTATGCACCATGCACGATATGTATGTTCGATTCCAAAGAAATTTGGAATATGTAACGGGATTTTGATTAGAAAATAAATTAGTCAAATTATATTAAAATCGGTTCAGATTTGGATATAGGTCCCATATATATCTTCCGCCGATTTCACATATTTGATGCGCAAAACACGATACGTATTTCCGATTCCAATGAAATTCGGCATGAGTGGCTAAATTTGGTACAAAAATAAATTTGACAAATTATTTTCAAATACGCTCAGATTTAATTATAGCTCCCATATATATACTCAGCCGATTTCACATATTTGATGCACCCAAAGCGAGAAAATTGCCACCAGAAAAAATTGCCAAATTTTATTGAAATCAGTTGAGGTTTGGGTATAGCTAACATATGTGTGGTTACAATAATAAATGTGACAAATTAATTGGAAATTAGTTAAGATTTGGATATAGCTCCCATATATATATTCTCGGCCGATTTCACGTATTTGACGCACCAATTTCAATGAAATATGAAAGGTGTGGCGGAATTTGGTGTAAAAGTAATTTTTTTAAAATTATATTTAAATCGGATCAGATTGGGATATGATTTTAATAAGAACCATTGACCCACAACGCCTTAGGCTAACACTAAAAAACAACACAACAATTAATTTGAAATACGCTTATTACGGCGAAGTATGTTGCTATCTCGAATTCATTAATTGCAACAGAAATGCCACTCAACTTCAAAAGATTGCAGTTTACTGCACGCTTGGTATTTGCTATGAAATAAATAAATCAGAAGGACAAACCCTTCGTGTATGTATGTCATGTTACTGTTTTTCTAATGGTTTTGTATATTTACGCATTAAAGTAGTGCAATAATTTTTTTTTTTTAATTATAAAATTTGTTTTTTTTTTAACCAACATATATTCGTAAATAAAATTTTGAATGCATATAAAATCAAAAGGGGTAGCGAAGCGCACCGGGTTCAGCTAGTTATATTATAAAGGGTGTTCTTTAAATTGTAAAAAGTAACAAAAAAAAATTAAATTTTGATGAAACTTTTTTTATTTGTTTCAGTATACTCTGACAAATCATCATGAGAGACCATTATATGCGTCGTTTATTAACCGATTTGGCTCTAGAGCAGTTGGCAAATGACCCGTTGTTTTATCGCAAAATTGTGTTCAGCGATGAGGCGCATTTTTGGCTTAACGGGTTTGTTGATAAGCTAAATTGCCGCATATGGAGTGAGACCAATCCACAAGCAAAAATCCACCGTATGGTGCGGTTTTCACGCTGGTGGCATAATCGGACCTTATTTCTTCAAAAATGAGGCCGGAGCTCGCGTTACGGTCAATGGAGATCGTTACCGCACCATGATCAATGATTTTTTATTTAAAAATATGGATGACTTTGATCCGTAGGAGATGTGGTTTCAACAGGATGGCGCCATACGGCGAACGCAAGCATCGACTTATTGAAATTGAAATGGCGATAAGTTGATTTCGAGAAGTGGACCTGTCAATTGGCCTCCAAAGTCGTGCGATTTGACAACTCTCGATTATTTCCTGTGGGGCTACGTAAAGTCACTGGTTTATGCTGATAAACCAGCAACAGTTGACGTCTTGGAGGCCAGCATTGTTCGTGTTATTCGCGGAATACGGCCAGCAGTGCTCGAAAAAGTGGCCAAAAATTGGACGTCCAGAATGCACTTCGTCAAGAACAACCGCGCTGCTCATATGCCCGAAATCAGTTTCAAATGTTAATGTCACGTATTGATCTTTCTAATAAAAAAAATAATATTTTTGCCCGGCTTAGATCTAATTTGGGGATGGATGAATCTTTCCCCAACATACTTCCCCTTCAAAACATGAAAATTTTTAAATTAAAATTTAAATTTTTAAAGCCTACTGGCTTAGGAATAACTTTGACATTCTGGTAATGTAGAAGATCTGTGGTTGTCATTACTTTTGACAGAAAGTTTCACATATGTATGAATACCAAAATTTTTGCGGGATAATATGATACATATAGGTCTAACGAGGGGTCTACTACAGTATTTGTAATTCAACAATTGCACAAAGCATAATGCTCTGCACCACCATGTGGTAAAAATTATAAAAAATATTTTTATTGAACATATAAAGGCAATTTAATCAACATTTTTAACTGTTCCACCTTCTACGGTCCACACTGTTCCATTATAGGCAATTTCCAAAATTTTAATAAATTCTTCAGCAAATGCATCTGCGGATTGGAGAGCCTGTTTCCCCATAGACTTTTTCACTTCTTCGAAAAATTCCGGGAATGTTGATTTAGATTGCAGATCTGCAAGAAGTTTTGTAATTGTGCCACCAGGGCAGATCGCAATAAAACTCACGCCAGTATTTTGAAAATAACTGGGATTCTGAAAAAAGCTCTTTCATATTAAAACTAAGACATATATTTTCTCAATTTTCAATTTACCGCCATAGATTTTGTAAAACTTATAACTCCACTTTTAGTTGCGGAGTAGACAGCGGTAAAGGCCATTGGTTCTAAGCCTGCCACAGAGGCAATATTAACTATCAGTCCTCCGTGGCCACCATTGGCCTTACTCATATAACTCAAGGCTATAAAATTGCTGTGAATAACACCAGTCTGTAAAGAAAGTTGAAATGTGAAATTGGACTGTAGGAGAAAGCTAACAAGTGACTCACCAAATTCACAGCTACCGATAAATCTATTAGACGTTCATTCAAGATTCCACTTCCATTGACCACCATATCAATGTGGTTAATTTTCTCCATTACACATTTATAGGCATTTTCAATGGTTGCTACTTTAGACATATCAACCGAAATATGTTCGATTTTACAATTGGAAAACGACTCCTTTAACTTTTTCACGTACTCATCATTGGTTGCCAGCTCGAAAATAAAGAGGAAGCCAATTTCCCTTTTCAACAATTCTTCAATGCATTTTTGCCCGATACCACCAAATCCGCCAACATAAACCACACTTTTACCCTTAAAATCCATCCTCACCAGATAAGAGTTAAGCAAATACTAAACTGTGAGGAGTTCCAAAAATATACATTTAGTCAAAATAATAATCAAATCTAAATATGCATTGCAGATATAAACAGATGGCCATTTCTCAAAAACAATTGAAATTGTTTCTAAACAAGTTTCAAGATTTCAAACTGAAATTATTGGAGTACGTTTTCAACTGATTTTAATCGGTTGAGTTTTTTTTTTTGCTTTTGTTAGAACTTTTAATATACTTATCAACGCCAAGTTAGTGAAAGTGATTTGTCACAAATAATAATGATTGGCCGGTCACATATTGGCTTTGTGTGCGACAACTTGAAATTGTATCATGCGTCTTATCTGTCCATAACATTGGCATTTTTACAAAATGTTTGTAAGACAAACACGTCACGATATGAAGTCTGTTTAATCGGTGAAGATATTTCTTAAACCCTCAGCCATATGCCTAAGTATATACAATTTGATACGGTCAAAACGTGCCTAGTCGAAATAACGGTCTTAGACCCTAGATCTCTTGGACCAAATCTGTTTCAGAACATTTGGAGTCGATCTAGCGATGTCCGTCCATCCGTCTGTCTAGCTGGTGCGCAGGATAACTCTCGAAGAGAGTATCAGATTTGGTCCATACTTGGTACATCGTAATATTTTTGTCAAACTTAGATCGAGTTCGGAGATGGGCAATATCGGTCCACCCCTTCTGGTATCTCCCGCATAAAAGGTCGAAATTTTCAAAAAATATATTTCTTGCACAGAAAGGGAAAGGATAATCCGATTTTGCTCCAACTTTGCAAATCCTAATATTTGCGTCAGTGATAGGTCAGGTGTGAAAATGGACAATATTGGTCCACTCCATCAAGTACCTCCCCCACAAATGGTCAAAATTTGGAATAATTACAACTCTCATAAAATGTAGTGTAAGAGTCCGATTTTCTTCAAATTTCACACATCCCAATATTTATATTAACGCAAGGTCTGATGTTAAGATGGACAATATCGGTCCACTCCTTTTGGTACCTCCCCCACAGAAGGTCGAAATTTTCAAAAAATATATTTCTTGCACAGAAAGAGAAAGGATAATCCGATTTTGCTCCCACTTTGCATATCCTAATATTTGCGTCAGTGCTGAAAATGGTACCAAATATCATTGTTGTCGAATGCATATTACGAATGTGAGGGACTTAAACACCAATGGGGGCTATAGCTATATCAGAACCTATTTTCTCCGAATTTAATGTACTTGCTTCTGGTATGAATTCGGTTGGATGTACCAAAATGCAGGTCATTTGGACTGATATTGATCATTTGATGCACAATTAACCCGAAGTGGGTTGAGGATATATATGGTAGCTATATCCAAATCTGAATCGATCTAGTCAAAATTCGATACACTTGTAAGGGACCTAAACTCCACATGTAAGGGACTTAAAACTCCAAATCGGATGAAAAAATATATATAGGAGCTATAGATAAATCTGAACCGATTTTCACCAAAATTTCAAGCATTTGCTTTTAGGAATTTCGTCGGAAGTGCCAAAATTAAGTCCATTTGGTGCATAAAAACCCTTAAAACGGATAAAGAGATATAGTTCTGAACGGTATCTGATACCAAAAATCATTGTTGTGGAGTGCAGTATTGAAGTATTTGTGATGATGAGGATGAATTTAGTCGCAATTGCCAAGATTCAGTCATTTTGGGCTGATATTAGTCATTTAGTGCACAATAAAAATTATATCGAATAAAGATATATATGAAAGCTATATCCAGTCTGATCCGATTTCAATAAAATTTGACAGAGGTATTTCTGGGCTGCATCTGAAATCTGGTACCATAGATCATTGTTGTGGAGTGCAAACAAATGCACAAAGACATAATACCCTTGGCACTTTGTGATGTAGGATATAAAATGGTCGAACTGTTGGAAATTATTGATAGTCTTGTTAGGTTTTTCCTTTCAAATCAATTGGGGACAGGTTTGAACATTTTATGTAATTTTCTGGAGGCAATAACTTCTAAAATAATCCTGTACATCCTAAATAATTTCAAATTTAAAATTATGAATGACATATGTCATACAAATATATGTTTGAAATTTTAAAACAACTGGACTATGGGGATATGCAAATCACAAATCGACGTATTTGGGTTGTTTAAACATTTTTTTTATAATCTTATTTTATCAGCAGAGCGAATTTTTTTAGCCTCGCCTCCTGGAATAGTTCGGTGGTACCACGGGGACTATGAAGGAAATTTTCAGATAGCGTTTCTTTGATTAAAAAAGTTATAGAGATTTTTTTTGAATAGGAATTCCTCAATTTACTCTTTATCCACTCCTTTGATACAATTGAGATTATGAATTCTTTTTCCAAATAAAAAAAGGAATACTAAGATTTGTTTAATGAAAAAGGAGCATAAACATTTTGTCATTCCGTTTGTAACACGTCTAATTTCATTGGAAATGGAGGAACTATATCAAATAGTGTACCTGTATCGAACAAATTTTAGAGTTTTACTTAAAATAATATGGACTCCATCTTGATTTTAAAAGACTGGCAAAAGGACTGCATTTTATGGTGGAGCGACGCGTTTAATTAAATGTTTTATTGTAGATGGCCCTTTCAATAGATATAGGTGTTTTATCACCGTTACTGTTTTTACTCATGTCTCCTTTCCAGAGATTTTCTAATCGCAATCGTAAGATACATTGAATTACATTTTCCTGTCCACACAAGTTCCATTCTGTGCCACCAGTTATGGCGATTAAATTGCGATACCGGTATGATAATTTAATCAAATCAAAATTATTACTTGTCGTTTAGATAATTACCGGTATTAACATGCGACATATCATGCCGCCATACATGTTTTTGCCGAACAAGAAGTTTGTAGTTGTGGTCGTCGAAAGAAATCAAGAAAATAGTTACCTCCGCACATTGTCAGTCATTGTCTGTAGCGTCGATTAAATAGATCACTAAGTGATTACACGTTTATTGCAATTTAAAACAATGGGGTGTTAATATTAAATGAAAATCCCTTCAACAGTCACTTACAGTTTAACTAAATTGTACTTAATTAGAGCAGGCATAATACTTATGAATTATGTAATCGACTATATTCAAAGAAGTCCACCCCCATATTCAATGAAGTTCCAATGAATGGATTGAGACTCTTACGTAGTGATGTAGAAACGATAAAAAATATAAACAAGAAAAAAAGGAGCAAAGTTCGGCCGGACCGAATTTTTAACACCGCCATTTGGAAGGAACTCGAAAATTTTCAAAAAACAAATCTGAAAACTACCGCTCAATTGAAAACCGTTAAATGCGGACCACACGAAGACGTGGCTTACGTAACTGTTGATAATAGTCTGTGGTACCCATTATGAACTTCAAATACGAAATTTGTTACAATTCCGGTGAATAATGTCGCAAAAATCATAAAAACTCCACTATCGGAAAGTACCTTCATATGGGGGCTATACGAAGACATGGACCTGCATACGAACTTTTTTCCCATAGGTTGTAGTACCCGAAGTTTGATACTTTTCCGGTGAATAATGTTGCTGAAGTCATGAAAATACCGAATATCGGGAGGTTCTGTTATATGGGGGCTATATGAAAACGTGGACCGACATTTTATACTTCAATGATTGCCATCTACCAAAATTCTAAAATACCAAATGTGAAACAATTTCGTGGGTAAATGTGTCTAGGATTATCAAAATAACGAATATCGGCGGATATCGTTTAATGTTCTGCCACTGGAGCTAAAAGTCATTATGAACTTCAAATGCCAATTATATATATATATATATATATATATATATATATATATATATATATATATATATATATATATATATATATACAATTTTTTTTAAACAACACTTCGTACATCGTTCTAAATTTTCAAATTTTCTAAATTATATATATTATTCAAGAATAATAGGATAATGTTTCCATTTTCTACCAAAAAAGGGGAACATATTAATAATATCATCGCACAATGGATCCACATCCAATTTTGTTGCCAAAAACTATTTCAGCGCCTCTATATGTAAAACCTTCAAACCAGTAGTGACCTCATTATCAAATTTCAGCTCTATCCCTACAACCAATACCAATTTTAGTACGCATATACAAAAAAGATCTTTATCTCTCTATCCTAGACGCAAACGGTGATCCAAAGTTTGTACCACCTAACACTTTTCAGAAAATTACGCATTTGCAAAACAACCACCAGATACCAACAGAGACCTCATTATCAAATTTCGGGATTCCGGCTCTATATATTTACTCAATACAAAATTTAGTAACATTTAGTACACACTCCTACATATCTAGACACCAACAACCACAATATCAAATTTCAGAATTCCAGCCCTGTCCATTCACCCAATACCAAATTTTGAACAATTTAGTACATTTCGAACAAATATAGTACAAATTTCCAAAGCCACCTGCATATCTCAAAACCAGACACCAGCAGTAATCTAAATATCAAATTTCAGGATTTTAACGCGCTATTCCTTCTACCAATTCCAAATTTAGTACTTTTTAGTTCTTTTTATGCTGCTATAGTTCCAAATATCCGAAACCACCACCATAAATAAACAGCGTCCCTAATACCAAATTTCAGATTTCAAGCACTATTTTTTCACCCAATAAAAAGTTAGACATAATATATTACTTTTTAGTACTTTTCGTGCACTTATTGCAAACATTTCCAAAACTGCCACTTTAACACAAACTTACCACCAACAGGGACTCCTAGCTAAATTTAAAAATTCTATCTTCATCCATTCACCCCAAACCAAACTATTCCAAATTTAGTATCATTCTTTACTATTAGCGCACTTAGTACACATTTCCAAAACAATCTTCGTGTATCAAATTTACTTTCCAACCCTGATTTTTATTCAAAATTTCAAATTTTAAGTTCTATCCATTCACAAAACACGAAATGGAACCATTGTAGAAGTTTAAATTTCGACTTTCCAAAAACACTTGGGATCATCGCGCCAAGACTGACCA